ACCAAAATTATACCACCATGTGAATTAGGATTTTGTGATTTATTTGATATAAAAATGTTCTTGAAAGGATGAAATTACCAGAGATATTTCAACTTTTCTGTATTGGTGGACAAGTGGAGTCAGTGTTGGTCTACTTGTTTGAATCAGTTTTAGTTCTGGTCTCTTTGTTAATTAAAATGTCAAAAGAATTTGTTTTGACAACTGAACTCTTTTTTTCAAATGGACTCCCAGTCTGTGGTGAGGGTGGCTCTAACACAGACAGTGTATTCACCTCAAGAGGATAACAGAGTATCTTACTCTTCAGGCACTCTGTTGTCTTTTTTTACCTCAGAACTATGTTTACATACCTCCAAGTGTTATGAGAAGACTTAGAAACTTAAATCGAATACCAAAAACTAAAAGGTCAAAAAGAGGATGTAAAAGGAAAATCGAAGTTAAAATATCCCAGAGAAAAGTGAGTTCCTCTTCTAATTCTAAGAGAAGGAAAGGGTGTCACAGAACTTATACAGAATTAATGAGGACAATTATTTTCCAGTAACACAGCCAACACATACGGATGGCTTATATGAATGTTCAATCATGTAGAAACAAAACTGAAGATATTTTCGACGTCATCACAAAGAAAAATATTGACATCTCTGTTCTCACCAAAACTTAGTTAACACCATGTGGTGATGAGGTGACACTCGTTAATTTAGTACCCCCAACGACAATGTCAGAGGTTTACAAAAGAAAATCAATGCGTTACATGATTTCTGCCACATGTGGGGTTTAAAAGCGAGTACAGAGAAAAGGAGGATTGTTGTTTTTAGAAATGGAGGCTATCTCAAAAGATCTGAGTGATGGTATTGGGAAGATAAGATCTTAGAGACAGAAACCTATTATAGTTACTTTGGCATTTCATTTTCATCGCGTCTATGCTGGAGACGAACGCTGGAAGATCGAGCTTGTAAAGCTCAACGGATTGTTTCTCGAACAAGAGGGCTTTTCGGTTCTTACCAAGAATTTAAATTTCGAAACAGCAAAAAACATTTTTGATATAAAGATTAAACCAATGCTGCTTTATGGCTCTGAAATTTGGGGTACCAAAAATTGGGACGTGATTGATAATGTTCAGGTAAAGTTCTGGAAAGCCTTTTTGGGTCTTGGCAAAACTACACCCAAATGTTTAGTTCTAAGAGAAGTGGGAAGAACCAACTTATGTTCTGATTACATCCATTGTGTCAGTAAATTCTGGTGCAGACTTATACACTTAGAAATGTCACATGCAATTATACCGTTCCTGTGAACTGGGCAGAGTCAACTGGGCTACGGAAATTAAAAACCTATTATTTTCCCTGGGTTTTGGATATGCCTGGTTTTCTCAAAACATTGGAAGTACTAGACTCTTTCTCAGTGAAGTAAAAAGTAGACTTGTTGATCATTCTGTGCAGAACATAGAGGAATAAGTCTGTCGCAAGCATAATGTTTTCTCTCTCACTATTCCGTTTCAAGAAACAGCTGAGTATATCTATCATCATCTTCCCACGGTATTGGAGCAGAAGAGTTAAAGCTTTGTTAAAAACCCATAGCCTTCCACTAAATAACAATCTCTATCGGTGGAAATTAACTAATTCACCCTTATGAGAGAGGTGTAACTCTCATGAAATTGAAGATGAATTTCACATTATTTTCTATTGTTCACACTTTGTCCATCAAAGAAAATTGTTAATCCCTCCCAGCCTGACTCGGCCCAGTGACAGAAATATGCAATGTTTGACTCATGATAAGAGATATATGCACAACCTGTACTTATTTATTATGGAAACTTTGTTTATCAAATGAGTGTCTTGTGTGATGTGATGTGGGCCAATGGCCTTAAACACTGGATAAACTTACTTACTTACTTACTTAGTACCCCCAACCTACATCGTTAATTCGTTTCCACGCCAAGGTCGGCGAGAGGGGGGGGGGGCATTGTTGCCATATATATATACAGAAGTTCTTTGAGCATTAAAATAACATCTAATGAAATTACTGTGACCACACAACGTTTGAAGCAATGGATTTATCTATGGATCTTGGTTCTAAATTTTATAACGTCGTTTGTATTCACCGCCTACCATACAGCACGATTAACAACCCAACGGAGTCTGCTTTCTTAAAAGAGTTTGCGAGGTTTTTAATCGTCATTTTCGATCAAGAAAAGTTATCCTGTTGTGCTTGGGGATTTCAATTTCCATTTTGATTCTCCATCGTCACCTGGAGTCAAACATTTGTTAGAATTATTCCGACAACACAACTTGGTTCAGGTCGTCACTGAACCCATCCATCGTTCTGGCCACACTCTTGACGGGGTCGTCATCAAGAAAGACTCTGACGCTTTTAGAAAAAAATATGTAGCAGACAAACTATTTTATGATCATTTCTTCATCTTACTTTTATTGGATGTGATTAAGACCAAGCCTGAAAAACATTATGTGTCTACAATGAACATTAAAGGAATTGACATTAATACATTTTTAATGGATTTGTTCAAATCTTTAAGTGAACTTAAAACTGTCAGTGTTGATTTGTATAATTCCACTGTTAGGGCAGTTCTTGACAAGCACGCATCCCTTGTAACTCGTCATCTTTCGGCTAGACATGGTTGGGGGTTGAGGTGAAAATGGCCCAAATCGAATGCAGGAAGCCAGAGAGACAATGGCTTAAAACTGGGTTCACCATCCACAAGCACTTTTTTATTAAAGAAACAAGAGCTGAAATGTGTAACTAAATGTGATAAAAAGAAATACTATGTTTCTATGTTTGAACATTCAAAATCGTGTAAACAATTATACGGCACTTGTGATGAACTATTAGGAAGGGTCAAAGAGACACGTCTTCAGAATTCTTTTAGCGATTTTAAACTACCCAAAAAGTTTGCTGATTATTTTACAGATAAATTTCAGAAACTAAGAAATGACCTTGATAACTATAAAACATGTACCGATTTTTATGTGTATGATGGGGTGATTCTCAAAAAGTTTAAACCTGTTTCTGAAGAATACTTTAAATCTGTAAAATTCTAAAATCTCCCTAGCAAGCATTGTGATCTCGACCATGTCCCTAGCTCTCTGTTGCCTTCCTTCATAGACGAACTGATCCCATTTATTACTAAAATCATAAACAATTCTCTAGTGTGTTGATCAGCACCAGCTTCGTTTAAAATTGCTCTTGTAAAACCTTTGCTAAAGAAACAAAACTTAGATCAGAATGTCTTAAAGAACTATAGAACTGTCTCATATCTGCCTTTTTTGTCTAAAATTCTTGAAAAAGTTTTCCTCGAGCAGCTTCGTCATCACTTACAAGAGAACAATCTGTTAGAGCCATTACAATATGCCAGTCGAGCTAACCACAGCACTGTAAGAGCACTTCTTAAAGTCATGAATGCCATGCTTACTGACTGTGGTTCAGGAAAAGTTGCTTTGCTGAACCTTTTAGTTCTATCATCAGCTTTTGATAGACAATCACATTTTACTGAAGCGATTGGAAGCGCCTTTTGGAATATCCGGGATTGCTCGTAGCTGGTTTGGTTCTTACCTGTCAAATCGATACCAATCTGTTGTTAGTAAAGGGCTCAAGTCATCATATCATGCTCTTATACAGTAGTAGTAGTAGTAGTAGTAGTAGTAGTAGTAGTAGTAGTAGTAGTAGTAGTTGTTGTTGTTGTTGTTGTTGTTGTTGTTGTAGTAATAGTAGTTGTAGTAGTAGCAGCAGCAGCAGCAGCAGCAGTATGCAAACTGGTGATCGCAAGGGCAGCCTGTTTGACCTTTCAACTGTTGACTTCTCTTAGCACAACGAGGGTGACTGCTGCACCACGAGAGCCATGACGAAGGAACTGAGTTACCGATGTGGAACTGACGGGAATGTGTATGGCAATCTAGGAAAAATGAAATTGGCTGGGTGCCAAACTCGCGACTACATCAAGGAACAGTATCCCGTGAACTGCCCGGATTTCCCGGAAGGCTTGATTATTATTGCCCAATAAACTTGAGAACGTGATTGGTCTAGAGTTGTGCCAGCACTAACAACTGTAGTTTGTTTGGTTTGAGTTGGTTTGTTGCTGGGTTGTTTGGTTTTGTTGTTTTTTTTAAAATTTTATTGTGTTTGTTTTGTTTCTTTTGTTTGTTTTGTTGGGGGTTCTGATTAATCGTCGCCTCAGAACTAGTTTGTCCAAAGTGCACACTATAGTTACATACATTTTGAGTCAAATTGTAGTTTTGAGGTGACGAAATTTAAAATGGTTGTGTGACAGTCGACTTTTTTATCTGCTGACTTGCTGTCGGGCCAGTTTTTCTCACTGGTTCCGGTCAAGGTCAAAAGAGGCAGGTGACTCCGCTGTGCTCAGGAGGGAAGCAGTAGATGCTGAGCCGCATCGTACATTGAAGGGGAACAAGTAAGAAAGTACAGGGTGTCTAAAAAATAAAGAGGACCACTTAAAGAGTAATAACTCGGTCATCTCTACAGTAATTCTAACAAAAGTTCGAGCAAGCAAATGTTCACCATCAGGACGTCAAATTTGGAAATATCATGTATATGAAAAAAATCAATCACCGTGTTCGAGAAATATCAAGTTTTTAAATTTTCAACCAAAATTGGGTAAAACGGATAATGTTACTTCGTATAAGCGTTCAGCTACAGGGGCGTGATCGGCCTGTTCTGGTTTCAGGACAAGGACGCCAAAACCATAGCAGCAGTCCCCTCAGATAAATATCAAAGAAAGTTTTGTTAAAGTTTTGGAAGAATTTGTTCTGCTCTTCAAACCTGGTTCCAGTGGGATGGGGCCACAACCCATAAATCGACAGTGGCCCTGGTTGCAAAAAAGGTTTGGGGAACGCCCTATAAGTCACTTGAGCCTTTTCAAGACTGTGACACTCGATAAGCTTCTCCCCACCAAAGATAGTACAAGACAAGATGGGCCACTCAGCCTAAAAAGTGTCCGCAGGAAGTATGCTCTTTGCTTCAGATGGCGCTGCAGT